TCACGGCAAATGCGTCTGGTATAGGTATTCGGAGCCAGCGAGGTACAGCTCCAAAATCAAGTCGGAGCCTGGTGCTGCCCTCTCTGAGCTCATCAACCATGCAGGAGAGTCCTCACCCAGGACTTCACAAATCAACATGCCTGCTTCACAACCACCACCACCTAAGGAAAACAGGGAGTTCTGGTGGCCTAAGTGGTAAGGAGCTGCACTGAGAACTGAAAGGCTCACAGTTCACAAAGAAGATGAGCAATCAATTCCCACACTGCTTCCTGCCTCTGAAAACCCTCTGGAAGGTCAGCTATGAGTTTCTACTCGACAGTACCCACAACAACGTAAGAAAAACCAGCATATTCCATCCTCAGAAACTCACTTTTTTTGGGCTACTAATAGTCAACAGGAATTAAAATAGGAAAAACCCAAAAGAATGCAGACTATGAGCATTTATTTATTCTTAAAGATGATGTTCATATTTTACCTCGCTTCTGACTCAAACATTTTTTCTTTTTTCATTTTTTAAAATCTAATTTATTTACAAAGTTTGAAGACGTTGCTTTTCACAAAAGATCCTTCCCATTTCCTTCATCCCACCCCCACCCCCGAATTGTGCAACCCTAACACCCTACCGCCCTGCCCATCTTCACCCCTCTATTTTCACCCTCCGCCCCCACCGTGGATCCTCATACTCATTCTACAATAATGTTTTTAAACAGTATTTGTCCCTGTATGACTGAGGTCGTTCACTCGGCATAATCCTCTTCCAAGCTAGGTAATAATTTACAAAATCACTGCTTCTGTGTGCTGTATAGTGTTCCATTGTACAAATGTACCACAACTTCTCAATCCATTCATTTGTGGTTGGACAGCTGGGCTGTTTCCATGTTCTTGCGATGGTGAATAATGCTGCTGTGAAGACTGGTGTACAAGTTTCCCAATTACAAAATGGGCAAAAGACATAGAAAGAATTTTCACAGAGGAAGATATTCAAATGGCCAATAGATTTATGTAGAAATGCTCAAAATCACTGGCAAGGAGATGCAAATCAAAACCACAATGAGATACCATCTCACTCCTGTAGCAGTGGCAAAGTATAATGGAACAACAAATAATAAATGTTGGAGAGGATGTGGTCAAAAAGGAACTCTTTTACATTGTTGGTGGGATTGTACAATGGTACAACCACTCTGGAAGGCGTTTGGTGCTTCCTAAAAGAACTGAACACAGAAATTCCATTTGATCCAGCTATTCCATTGCTTGGAATATACCCCAAGAAAATGAGACTTGAGACTCAAATAGAAACTTGTACATCAAATATTTTTAAATGTTTTACCAAAGCACAGTTCAGCTGCCTAAAAATTATTAGCTAGTTCTTGCTTCAAACAAACAACAGTTACTGTCCAGTAAGCTTCTACTTACAGCAACCTGCAGGTGTCAGAGTAGATCTTTATTAGACAGGACTTTTCAGTTTCTAGTTTTTCAGCACTGATCACCAGGCCTTTCTTCCTATGAACCTCTGAGTGCACTAGGCCCTCCAACTTTGCAGTCTTGCAACCAGGGGTATTAACTATGTGTATCACCCAGAGGTTTTAATTACTTACTCTTAAGCCAATTCTCTGTGCTATCTGTTGCTTTGTGACCTATCATTCTTATGGGCACAAATTAAAGGAGAGACTTGATAAGGGAACATATCTTTTTACCATAGAGAAGAGGCACTAGCTTGATTCTTACGGCTCTCAGAGAAACCGTGATGTAGCCATAGCGGAAGAAGACGCGGTCTAAAATGTGAAGGCTTCCTCCAGTGCTATAAAAAGAAAGCTCTTGTAACAAACACTCTACCAAGGGTTTCTTAATGCCTCTCAGTGCACTACCGAGAGGCCTTCGCACCAAGTGATCGCTAAGCCAAGTGCTTCAGCATAAGCTTCTGGGGCCCAGAAGAGCATGTTGTAAAGAAAATGAAGAGGAAGAGAGTGGCAAAGAAAGAAACAATTTTCACAACAGCAAATACCAAAGGCAACGTTCTAAAACCGTTGAAAGCACTGCGTGTTAAAAAGCAGTCAAGTTTAAAGTGTCTAAGTGTCTTATTTTTTTTTTCCTCCCTGATGAAAGGGATTCTGGTGGTCGAGTCTGAAGGGAATTGCACTGCCAACCCCAAGGCCCCGACTCTCTGGCAGTTCGACTCCACCAGTAGCTCCTAAGGATAAAGGTGGCCAATCTCCTCCTGTGCTATCTTCAGGCTTAGAAACCCAATGGAGGGTGAGCCAGGAGCCAGCTCTGCCTTACCAGCAATGAGTCTACATGGCTGATGTATATATGTGATAGATGCTTCTTACGACTGTCCACGAAGCAAAACCCCTCTGTCATCAAGTCCCCTCCCACCCAGCGCAACCATCTCTCTTGTTTCTGAGGCTGTAAAATTTCTAAAAGAGGGAATTCCCCATATTTCTGCCTCAGAGAGGATTTGAACCTCTCACCTTTCAATTGTAGCCCAACACACATGCACTACACCACCAGGGAAAATATTTTCAAGAAAATATTATCATGATTGCAGTGTTGAGCCCCATACTTTCCAAGGATCCTTAAGAACAAGCATCATACACCACATCCTTCATTTGCTTGGACCATTTCTTCCAGCCTGCATTTATTTATATTTGCATATCACTCACAGAAGTCCATCTCCTAGAAGTAGAATGCTTCAATCTTCTCGGTTCCAGAACTAGGCTTCTAGCCAAAGGAAAATGACAGACTTGGAAGCACAGAAGACTTCATTTTTTCCTCTTAAATTCTATCATCTTATGAATTCTAAGATAGATGATCACTGACTAAACAATAAACCTCTACACTTTGTTATACAACTGAGGTTTGACTTGGGTTTTTAAATAATGAAATTTACCTCCCCTTGGCTAGACTTGTGAAATGAGCACCCCATGAAAAATACGGTAGTATCCTAAAGAGATAACAGGCATTATAGCCACAACATTTATTTCACTTTCTCATAAACCACATTACAAGATTCGGGAGAGAAAATGGCTGGTGTGCAAAATGGAAAGAAATTTTCCTACATTTGAAAGTCAACATGGCTCAAAATATTGGATCTACAGGACAAGTAAGTTAAAGACGTGCGAGAGCCTTTGGCCCTAAACCCTTTCTCTTTTCTTAAGCAAAGAATCACTTATGATTAGTCTTAGAGAGCAGCTTAACTGAGTCACCATGAATTATTTAAAAACCCCAAAATACCTTCTGCCGCTTTTATAGAAACTTGATTTACAAGCTGAAAAATCAAACTGACAATCTGGTCTCTTGTACAAATACCCAACCTTTAAAAATGCTCTAGGCATTATAAATACATCTTTCATGAATATAACTTCCACAGTTCTAAAAATAGCGTTTAGAAGGGGAAAGAAAAAAAAAAAAGAAAAACAAACCCAACCTCTTTCAAGCCATTGTTTTCTACATAACAGCAGGAAACCAAACAGAATGTGGAAGCCAGAGTGATTAACACACCCAGTAATAAACATGAACATTAAGCAGGAAATTGTACTCAAATGAAAGTTTGGAAATTAGCTTTGGGGTCTTAGATTTCAATGTTATTTTAAAAGCTACATGGTTATATTCTCTATGGTTTGCCCCCACATTGGTGGCCACAGATGGTTCGAGGCAACACAGAATCACAAAGTAATCAGAAGGCTGCTGTTTGCCTTTTGAACAGTAAGTTGCTGTTGTTGTTGTTGTTGTTGTTGTTGTTACATGCCATTGAAACCAACTCATCGCTGACCCTCCAGCAGGTTTTCAGAGGCTGTAAATCACATAGGAAGAGACTGCCCATCTTTATCCTTCAGAGCAGCTGGTGGATTTGAACCATGTTCTTCTGGGGTGGCAGTGCAATTCCTTATCACTAGATAACCAGAACTCCCTTGGACAGTTATAAACAGGTTCATTCAGGACTGGTCCTTGGCCTCCACCCAAAGAATATCCCCCAACTTCCCCTTTACCATAGCAAACACTGTGCCATGTCTTGAGGATGCCTCAGAACAGACAAACATTCCAATCTGTTGTTCACAGGATCACTATGAGTCTCCAAGGAGCACCTAACAACAACTCCATCCCCATCTCACTGGCATAATCGAGGTTTCCCTGAAGGTAAAAGACTGACAACTCCAGTGAAGGCATTCAGCAGCAGAGCTGAGAAGGAGCTGATCTCACAGTCTGGTCCCCAATAGCAACAACTGTTGAGATTCCTGGTATCTTACTGGTTTCAATATTTAGCTCTCAATAACTCTGTTCCTCCTCTCCAACTAAAAGGACTGAGAGCCCCAGCTCATTAGACCTTCAGCAATTTCAGAGCATCAATGGCACTGCCTCTTAAAATCATAACCACTTTCTATCAAGACTCTTGACTCATTGCCCACTATATTCCAAAGAAATCTCATCAACTGCAGACACTCTCTAAATAATTTGATATGGAGTCATCTCAATTGTTTTCATAATAAATGAGATCTGAATTCATAGTACTGTTGGCAGAAGGTGAATTTGAGAAGAAATTCTCAAAAAGATGGTGGATACAGGCTAAAGGAACAAATCATATAGATCACTCTCCTGTTGGGAGAATCCTTAATGAACAGCAAAGAAGGGGAAGAAAGGTCAAGGTTAAGATCGTTAGAGTCAGAAGTTATTTTCTCACCATTTTTCTCCATTTTTTATGGACAGAAATGGTGGGGAGTTAAATCAGTAACACTGACCAATTTTCTTCTAAACCAAATGTAGCTTCTATCTCCAAGTTCTTAACCTAACAAAGATAAGCAGAAACGCAAAAAAAGTAATTCTTTTAAGATTTAGTGCAACCAGCATCTCAAACTGCCAGACATTTTTGTCCTCCATGTTTTTTGTAAAACATAAGCTTTAATTAAAAAAATACAGTCACCTTTGAAACTGACATATTTGTGTAAAATAAGATAAAGACATGTTAGGAAGCAACAGCCAAACTGAAGAGTTATCTTCTTTCTTACCTTGTTCTGATCTGTCCAGTAAAAGAAAAATCCCTGAGGGTCAGTCCTCAAAATAATTGGCGTAACAATTGTGGAGTCCTAGAAATGTAAGAAAAACAACATGTACATCAATATTTATCATCATAGAAAGTTCTATCAGTAATAACTGTGTATTACTCTAAGGTGTTCTACTATTAACTAAATCTAATCCCTCACCCCAACAGCAATGACAAAGTTCAACAGGATAACAAGTAATAAATATTGGGGAGGATGTAGAGAGATAGGAACTCTTATACACTGTTGGTGGGATTGCAAAATGGTACAACCATTCTAGAAGACAGCTTGGCGTTTCCTCAAAAAGCTGAACACAGAAATTCCATTTGACCCAGCTATTCCACTGCTTGGAATATACCCTAAGAAAATGAATGAAAACTGAGACACAAGCGGGGACTTGTACACCAATGTTCATAGCAGCGTTATTCACCAACGCAAGAACAGGGAAACAGCCCAAATGTCCAACCACAATCAAATGAATTGAGAAATCATGGTACATTCACATGATGGAATACTATGCAGCATGCAGGAGCAATGATCACGAAAATTACTCAGAACTTGCAAGAGACAGGAGAGCATTATGCTGAGTGAACTAACTCAGTCCCCATTAAGGACAAAGACTGTATAAGACTATTATATAAATAGAAAGATGACTAGTAAAATATGTATGAGGATATAAGGGGGGTAGCGGGGAGCAGAGGGATGTGAATGGGCAGGAGGCAAAGTAATCATAGGGTAGCACAATTTGATGGGTGGAGGGAAGGGTGAGTAAAGGAAATGGGAAGTATCTGGTCAGAAGAACAAAATGCCTATGAACTTTGTAAGTAAATCAGTATAAAATAAATACTGTATTTTAAAAAAAGAATTAGATATGAGATCTTTAACTTATTGCTGTTGTTATTGTTTTGTGCCATCCAGTCTCCTATAACTCATAGCAGCCCTATGTACAACAGCTCTAAACCCTGACCTCTTCTAAGCCAGTCTCACTGACTCCAACACACCTAATCCCATCACCCTAGTTGTCCTGTCAATCCATCTCATCCAGACTCTTCCTCTCCCGCACTGCCCCTTCACCGTTCCGAGCATGAAGAAGGACCAACCCCTCCTGGCCACGTGCCCAATGTGAGTCAAAGTTTCAAAATCCTTGTCTCTAAGAAAAAAGTTGGTTTTGCTCTCTCCAAGAGACGCCCATTTGTTAACTTTACAGGATTATTAATAATATAACTAAAACATTCAGCAATAATGAGAATTTATGTACCTAGTTTGTAAAGGAAAAGGCTAGTGATGTGTGTGTGTGTGTGTGTGTGTGTGTGTACACACATATACATGCACAAGTTTTTACGGCCACTGACCATTTTCCCATTAAATTCATGCACTTAGTTATCAAAATAAGTTTTAATATTAAATATGATCATATTTTTAAATGTTTTAAAATAATAAAAATGTATCTTGCAGGATATTATTTTTAATTTCATTAGCTCCATGAAATGATTTTTAATTGTACAAAAGGGAGCTAGTTGGCACAGCATTTGGACACTGCTGTTTCCAAGGTAACAGTAAATAAGGCCGTCTTCAACCTATTTCGGAAAGACAGCCATGAAATGATTGCCCATTCAAATTTTACGCATTAGAACATCACAGACAAAATTTTTCTAAGTTTAAAGTATACATATTATAAAGCAAAAACTGCATGTATTGCAATTATACTATTAAACATTTCTAAAATATGTGTTCTTTTGGCAATTTTCAGAAAGGCATACCATCTGCACAAGAAAACACATGTCACTGGATTACAGATTTTGATACTGAAATACTTAGGTCTTTGCAGAAAGGGCAGTTTTTAGACACATAAATTACCAGTTTCTTCCAGCTTTTTCATATATTCCCTATCTGATCTAATAGGTGGTGTTGTTATTTACCATCCAGTTGGAACCGATGCGTACTTGGCCCTCCAGTAAGCTTTCAGAGGCTAATCAGTAAATTAATCTCACATGGGAGAACAAAATTAGGACTCCTAGAAATAATTATCTTATCTTACCCCTCTAGATAAGAAGTGGGAGCTCTGGTGACCAACGGGCAAGAAGCTGTGCTGCAATCCCGAAGGCACTGGGTTCGAGGTCGCCAGCTGCTGTGGGGAAAAGTTGGGCAATCTCCTCCTGTGTGATTAACTACCTCTGAAAATCCACTGGAGGGTCAGCAGTTAAGAAGTGTCAAAAAGCTGCCTCTAGTCTACAAATTAACCATTAAGTACTAGGGTTCAAATCCCTTCCTGCTTGCACTTGGTGCCTCCCTGTCCAGGACTTAAAAAAATAAAACAAACATGGAATAATACATCCTATGCCAGTGGTTGTTGTGAGAATTAAATAGGAGAATTTAAGTGAAGTTCCTGGAATTAAGCTCGGTACATAATAAAAAAGAAATCAATAAATGTTTATTATGATTATCACTAAAATACCTTTATTAAAAAAATCAAAGTTCTAGGCACTATGCACTTTGAAAAATAACTTAGAATTATTGTGCTATTTCACTGAACTACTGTTTGAACTTCTCAATGCAAAACAAGACATCTAGAAACAAATTTGATACTATAATCAAAGGCAATTTTTTAATATTTTGGGCTTCTTTGAGATGACATGTATAAAAGTGGATCATAATATATTTTTAATAAATCCTAACAATTATTTCCTTCTCATTCTGTCCCTCCTCCCTATTGTGAGTGGCAGTGAGAACTCAAATTCATGTACACTGCCTGACCCAAAATAAACCCACGACTGGTCGAAGATCTAACTGAAACTTGCTCAACAGCATTCTAGAAAGTGTGCCCACCTGTTCACACAGCACATATTCTCACCTCCAGATGAATCGCAATTAACCCGTGGGGGCAATTTATCATTCTCAGGTCAGCTCATTTCCTAATCAGAATGCATGACAAGATTCTAATTGAAATCTTGGTGGTAATTCACTGCAAGGATCACAGACCATCAAATAGTAAGTTAACAAAAGAAAGCTATTCAAATTCATACTTTGGAACACTGTATAAGGCAATCTCTTTTGTTTGGGGCCCAGCTGTTTCTAGCTCTTTCCTCCTTTTCTCTCCAACTTAAAGCTCCTTTGTTCAATATTCCCTCGCCTCTACTCTTCCTTCTATGATTCCTCTGTTAAATGATCATTTCTCCCAGCTCAGTGCCTGCTTCCTTCATAATCAAACATCCCAAGATCAGCTAGAACTTCTCTGGGAGCTACTGGTGGATTCAAACCTCTGAAGAGACACCACCTTTGAGTTGGCTGCATCACTCTCTGCAGAACAAGCCACCTGAGCAACTGAAGAGCAACTGTTGTTGTTAAGTTCTGTCAAGTCATAGACAACTCATAGTGACCCTATGAATCAAAGACCTGAGCATTGTTCATAGAATATCTGGAGGCAAGCTATTTCAGAAGTGGATGCCACTCCTGCTTCCAAGCTTGTTTTAATTGGGAAGCTCCACCCAACACTGTCCACCATGAGTAACCATCATCGCATTTGACACATCAGTGTCACAGTGTTTAGCATCACAGAAACCATGAATTACCTCTATACAGCAAATGGACTGACCAGTGCTATACCACGTAGAAGAATGTTTGACAAAAGCAATTTAAACCAGGCCTGAGAGCCACAGATTAAAACTACCTACCTTGGGCTTGGTAGCATAATTTTCTGTCCACTAAAAAGTTAAAATTGTAAATGCTGGGAGCTCTGGTGGCCTAGTTGCAAGAAGCAGCACTGCAATTCCTGAGGTGTGTGGTTCAAATCCACCAGATACTCTGCTAGAGAAGGAGGGACAATCTTCTCCTGTACCAGTCAGATCCAATTTGACGTACACACACATCAGGTAATAAATTTTATTTTAAATTAAAAAAAAAATTGTAAATGCCATTCACATTCAATTTTTGGTGGAGGTCTTTGCTCCTTAAAGGGCAGCCCTTCCTTGTAAAGCTTACCTGCTCCTCTCATCAGATAATACCAGTAAGGAAAGGGTTTTGTGGATTTTCATTTTATGTGTGTAATCAGCAACTTCCAGGGTGGTAATTTAACACCTACCCAGGACAGATTAAATCTAGGTACTTCTCTGTGGGGCACAACTTCAAATTTCAGATTTGAACTACTATGTTGCAATTTTTCCCCCCAGTTCCCCTTGACCAGTTCTTCAAACACTTGTGGTAGAACCTTTAACACCAAGGCTGGTGTCAAGGTCAGCCCTCCGGCCACAGCACATTCTTTACGACCACAGTCAAAAAGTCTACGAGCCAAGGCTGACCATGACCCTGACCTCACAGTGATCCTTACTTTCTTACTCTGCTGCCAGAGAACACAGATGAATGGAGACATGCAGACAAATAGGAATCAATACGAAAGAGTCAAGGAGAGTCAGTAACAAGCACTTGGATCAGGAAGCAGTAGAGACAAATTGGGGAAATTTTAAATTGGGAACAAAGACCTAAAAGACCAGAGGAAGAACTCCAAGGGTGGTAGAAAATCAGTTGTAATTACCATCAAAAGTCAGCAATGACCATGAAGTAATTTATACAGTAAGGGCAGACTGAGGTGTTAGATTACGGTCAACCACATAAAAACAGCCTGCAAGTCAGCATTGATGAGAATGTTCTCCCAAGAGTAAGATTTCCCCAAATGAAAGAAAGCAGTAGAAGTAAGAATGTCCTGAGGAGAATAGGGGAGAAAATTGAGCAAGAAAACAAAACAAAAACACCAAGCCATAACCCACTGCCATCAAGTCAGTTCTGACAGAGACCCCAAAACATAGGATAAAACTGTCCTGTGAGGTTTCTAAAGGCTGTAGTTTTTTTTAATTTTTTTTAAATTTTGTGTGTGTGTGTGTGTGTGTGTGTACCGTCAAATCGGATCTGACTGGTACAGGATGAGATTGCCCCTCCTTCTTCAGCAGAGCATCTGGTGGATTTGAACCGCTTAACTCTGGGACTGAATTGCAGCTTCTTGCCACTAGGCCACCAGAGCTCCCCAAGGCTCTATTTTTTTTTATTTTTTTTTT